GTAAACAGGCAGCTCTGCATAAATACTAACCAAAGGGCCAAAAGGTGAGAGGAACCAGTGTCATCCACTGGTGGTGCCATATCCTCAGTGCTAACCCAGCTAACTTCTTCCACTCCAGGACAAGAGCAAAGCCACCACAGGAGCCCTCTCCCACAGGCCTTGTCGCCCCAGACCTAACTCGCTCCCTCCCAACCTGCCTGAAGAAGAAACTCGCAGGATTGCACGGATATTTTCTTCTCGGTACTCCCAGAAAGACTGATGCAGCCTGCGGGGCTGGGGGAAGGAGATGCCTGCCCACCCTCCCTCAGCTTTGTCTGGCTTGCAGGAGGCACCAGGTCTGGCTCCTTCAGGGCTGTCACAGTCCTGAAACCACCACTAGCCTAGTCCATGGATGCCTCAAGAGACCCAGTCAGCCCAGACTGGAGAAGTGTCCCAAACCAGCTCAGTGTCCACCTGCCAGAACTTCAGCTCCTTTCTTCTATGGTGAGGCAAAGGCTAGAAACAAAATGAAATCCATGCCCAAGTGGCTCCTCCATCTTTTGACCAAAGGACCCAAGCAAACATCTTTTGGTGGAGAAATGCCTCCCAGTGTCCTTGACACAGCTGACTGCTGACATGAGCCTATCCTCTGCCTGAAGATGCGGGACCATTTTTGCCTTAAAATTTGGGGAGGAGGGACATGTCGATTGTGTACGTTGTGCATAGCTAAGGAAATCCTAGGGCCACCTCCAGTTCATTTGTGAGGGAATAAGGATATTTTATAGATACAAATTATTTTTATGCCATATTGAATTAATCAGGAGAGGAAGGGGAAATCATCTCCTTCAAACTTTTCATCTGATTGTCTAAAATTCTAACTATGCTTTTAACTTATTGTTTTTACCCAGCTCTGAAGGTCATTGTTCCTGCTTGTGCTTGAATAAAATCATATTGGTGTTTGTAATCTGTGCACAAGTGTTTCACTGGAGTGGGAATGCCTGGAATTCATTTGTGCTCTAACTGCCAGAGAGAAAGCTTAACAACCATACAGCCCCACAGACGAGGATCAATCACCATGAGACTTCTGGCTCCCCCAGAATCAGGTTGGTCCAGATGACAGTGACACTCAGTATTTTCTTTGCTGACGCTTGAAATCCATCAGCAAAATGGAGCACTCCGAATCTCCCTTATCTCTGGGATGGGTAATTCTGGCTGGGGCTGTCAGACCACAAACACCTGAGCAGCTTCCACAGACAAAGCCCAGTAGGGAGGACAAGAAAGGGGCCATGGCTGGGCATGGTGGCTCAAGGCTGTAATCACAATATTTTGGGAGGCCAAGGTGGGCAGATCACCTGAGGTCAGGAGTTTGAGACCAGCCTGGCCAACATGGCAAAACCCCATTTCTTTTTTTTTTTTTTTTGAGACGGAGTTTCACTCTTGTTACCCAGGTTGGAGTGCAATGGCGCGATCTCGGCTCACCGCAACCTCCGCCTCCTGGGTTCAGGCAATTCTCCTGCCTCAGCCTCCTAAGTAGCTGGGATTACAAGCACGCGCCACCATGCCCAGCTAATTTTTTGTATTTTTAGTAGAGACGGGGTTTCACCATGTTGACCAGGATGGTCTCGATCTCTCGACCTCGTGATCCACCCGCCTCGGCCTCCCAAAGTGCTGGGATTACAGGCTTGAGCCACCGTGCCCAACCAGAACCCCATTTCTACTAAAAATATATATATACAAAAATTAGTGGGGTGTGGTGGTGCACACCTGTCTCAGCTACTCAGGAGGCTGAGGCAGGAGAATCGCTTGAACTCAGGAGGCAGAGGTTGCAGTGAGCTAAGATCACACCACCGCACTCCAGCCTGGGCAACAGAGCAAGATTCTGTATCAAAAAAAAGGGGTTGGGGGGGATGGTCAGGGACAGATTCAAAGTGAGCAGTGTGTCTGGGCAACAGGCTTTCACCTTCAAGTACATGTCACTTCCCTGTCCTCCAAACAACTCTCTTAACTGTAGATATTATGATATCTAGAGTTTCTATAAGCTCAGTGTTTTGCCTCTGTTTGCGTAGTTAGGAAGTGATTCACCACACAAGAAATCCCCAGAAGTGTTGCAAGGCTACTGCTTTCAGTGATGAAAACAAGGTACAGCCAGTAAGTGCTCTGAATTTAGAGACTTCATGGAGAAAGACCACGTGGACTGGAGCAGTCAGGGAAGGCTTCCTGGAAGAAACAGGTCTTGGGGTAAGCCAGGCTATGGATAGCTGTAGAGAGAGAGAACCAAGAAAGCCATGAGCTACTTGTAGCTAGAGATAGAGACCAGTCTGGCTGTGTCTGAGCCTCTCTTCATCTGTAAAACAGATAATCATCCCAGCTTCATGGGGTTGTGAGGAGGATCAGATGAGACGGCATTTGTGCTTAGCCTACACTTGGTACATGGTGGAAGCTTAGGAAATGTCAGCCCCACCTACTCTCCTTACGCTCCAGAAGAAACCAGTAGAAAGGCAAGCACACAGCCACTGAGACAGGCAGGGCACTCCCAGGTCTCGGAGGGTGGGTGCAAAGTGATAGGGGAACCTCAAGGAAGGAGTAGGTGCCGCCTTTTTGGTGACGAGCCCTTTGCCTTTTATTTGTTTCTGCTCCTTAGTTCCAGCCTGCCAGCCTACCCCTCCCCAGCACCATAGAGGCTGACCTCTCTCTCAAGTCACCAGCACAGAGCATTCAAGGCCCAGGGTTCTGCTTCCTTTGGGGCCCAGGGAACCTAAAGAGGGGCAGTCAGGGCCCAGGCCTGAAGGGTAAAGCCTCAGGTAAAGAGTATCTCTCCAAATCCCACTCCAGCTCCCTCAGACAACCTGATTGGGGTCAGGAGGACGCATGCTGCTCCTACCCCAGGCTGAGAGCAGCCTCTGATGACACGAAGGGACCCTGAGGGTCGAGACCTCCTACCTCCACTTCAAAACAGTGTGTTATTTATCTGTATCTTTTCCCTGGCCAGGTGTGGTGACTCATGCCTGTAATCCCAGCACTTTGGGAGGCTGAGGCGGGTGGATCACAAGGTCAAGAAATCAAGACCATCCTGGCCAACATGGTTGAAACCCAGTCTCTGCTAAAAATACAAAAATTAGCTGGGCGTGGTGGCACTCATCTGTAATCCCAGCTACTCGGGAGGCTGAGGCAAGAGAATCGCTTGAACCCGGGAGGCGGAGGTTGCAATGAGCCGAGATTGCGCCATTGCACTCCAGCCTGGGTGAGAGAGTGAGACTCCATCTCAAAAAAAAAAAAAAAAAAAAAAAAATTCTCCCTAGAAGTTGAATCTATTTCCCAGTGCCAACTCTGAGGTAAATGATTTGCCTAGGCAAGCGGAATGGAGTAAGGCATTTGGTAGGTGTTCCCACCACCAGAAGGAGCCAGTGACTCCCTCTCCTCCCTTTAACCTGTGAATAGGTGTTTCTGATCCCTAGGCTAGTTGCATCCCAGCCCCATAGCAGGCAGCCTTGGGACTTCTAGCATGGGCTGGCCTTGGGACATGGAGCCAAAGCAGGCAGACCTGTCCCTGCCCTCAAGAAGCTCCCAGGCCAAAAAGAGCTCAGCTCTCCCTCCCACTGGGTTTCTCCAGAGCCTGCTGCCTCCTGCTTTGGGATCCTTCCCCCACAGACTCCCTGTAGTTTACCCCACCACCCCCAGGCTAGCAATTACAGATGGAGCTCAGAACCTACTTCCTGAGCCCTCCTAATCTCAGCAGCCCTGGCAGCCACTTACCTCCTAACTCTAATGCAGCTGCTTATTCTGCTGACATTAAGGTCAGGGCCTGGTCCAAGGAAGAGGACAGGTATAGCCCAAGCTTTGCACTTGAGCATCTGTACTTCTGACCACCTGCCCTATGACCCTGGCTCTGCACCCAAGTCCAGAAAAGACCTCTGCCTACTCCTCCTCTGCCCTACCCAGTTAACTCCCTTTCCTTCCTTCCCTTCTGCTTCTCACTCCTCCTGTCCCCTCTCTTCCTCTTCTCCCCTTCCCCCATCACCTGGGGCTGATTCAGCTATGCCCAGCCCTTACTCTCAGTGCCCACAGCAGGCGCCTCCAGTAGCTGCTGTGGGGCACTCTTTCCACCCACCCCAGCGCCCTTGGCTCCAGCAGAGTCCATGCTAAAGCCTCCAAGTGTCATGTCAGAGAGAATAGTGGTCACAGCAGGTAAGCCCAAAATGCCTTAGAGTTTACAGGCCGCAGTCAGCCCCTGCCACATGCTAACCACATGACCTGGCTAGCATTTTCCTCCCTGAGATTCCACTTCCTCCTCAGTGGTAAGATTTTAGGATCCCTAGCACCAAAAAGAAATGAAATACTAATACATCCTCCAACATGGATGAACTTCAAAAGCATTAGTACACTAAGTGAAAGAAGCCAGTCACAAACAAGCACATATTGGATGATTCCATTTCTAGGAAGTGTTCAGAACAGGCAAATTTATAGAGACAGAAAATAGATTGGTTAATGGTTGCCTGAGGCTGGGGAGCGAGGGAAGGGAAGTGACTACTAATGTGTATGGAGTTTTTCTGGGGGAGCAGGAGGTGTGATGAAAATGTTCTAAATTAGATTGTAATGATGGTTGCACAACTCCAAATATACTAAAAACCATTTGAATTGTGCACTTGAAACAGATGAATTGCATGGTATGTGAATTCTATATCAATAAATCTGTAATTTAAAAAAAAATTAGACCTGGCATGGTGGCTCACAACTATAATCCCAGCACTTTTCAGTGATGAGGCAGGATGATCACTTGAGCCCAGGAGTTCAAAACCAGCCTGGGGAACACAGCAAGATTTCGTCTCTACTAAAAATTTTAAATTACAAAAAAAAAAAAAAAAAAGGCTGGGCGTGGTGGCTTACGCCTGTAATCCAAGCACTTTGGAGGCCAAGGCGGGTGGATCACCTGAGGTCGGGAGTTCAAGACCAGCCTGACCAACATGGTAAAACCCCATCTTTATTTAAAAAAAAAAAAAAAAATAGAGTAAAGAATTAGAATCCTAATAGTACCTATCTCATAGGATTGTGTAAAATAGTAGTAGTGTATGTAAAATATTCAGCACATAGTAGGCACGAAGGAATGACAGTTATTATTAAGATGCCTGGGAGAGCTGTGCCCAGCCTATCATGGGAGGCCTTGACCTTTGGACTCAAAAGTGGCAGCAGGTCCACACCCCCATATACCCTTGTTACCAAGGAAGTGTCCACAGTTTGAAGGAGCTATATTAAAGCACCCCAAGTCAAGAGGACTAAACCAGTTCTGGAACTCACTGACCTCCCTGCTCACCTCACTGCACCTCACCAGCCAGCTTCTTGTCAAGTGATTAGGCTGTCAACCAGCTTCTCTAGGATAAGGTTTCAGGTCAGCCGCGTGTATAAGACCAGTGCCAAGCCAGAAGCAGCAGAGACAACAGTGAATGGCAAGGAGGGGCCATCCGATCCCTGCTGCCACCTCCCAGAATGGAGCCCTAGGGAGCCCCTGTGCTGCCTGTGCCCTGGCAGGACTCACAGGTAAGACCCCTTTCTCTTCCCTCATCCCTTCCCCTCTCCCTCTCCTTCTCCCTTCTTGTTCTCCCTTTAATTGGAGGCTTACAGAGAGCATCCCTGAGCAGTCAGTGCTCACTAGCCACAGCATGTCAGACCTGATAGAGATTCAGTCCAGCCCCCACCTTATGAAAAGGGAGGTGCGGCCCTGATGAGGATACTGTGGCAGGGCTGGGACTTGAACCCAACACCTGTGTCACTTACCCAAGACTCACGTCCCCTTTGCCTTGTAGGCTGCCTCTGGTGGGATTTTGCAAATCCCCATAGTCAAAAAGTGGCTTTCTTCTTTGTCTGCTCCGGAATCTCTGGGATTCCCCGGAGCATAAATCCCTCTCTTTCCATGAGGACCCTGCGGCCCTCTTCCTGAATAGGGATGACAGGCACATCTGACCTGAGGCATGGTCCAGGTCGTTTCCTGGGAACTTTACAGAGCCCATGGTCTCTCCGCCCAGATGGCTTCCTCCTTGGGATGCTGTGAAGTAGGAGTAGGCGAGGCGATATCGTGTTGGGTAGGATGTCTCAAAATGGGGTCCTCTACCCACTGCTTCAGAGCTGCCACGGGGAATTTGTTCCTAATGCAAATTCCTAGGCCACACCCCAGACCTAAATCAGGATCTCTGGGGCTGAGGGCCGAGAATCTAGTCTGTAAACAAGCAGTCCAAGGGATCCTTAGCAATCCCTGAAGTCTGAGACTCTGTGGGCAGTGGAACAGGCACAGCTTCAGATGTCAGACAAACGTAGGCACCAATCTCACTCAGCTCCAGCACTTTAGCTGTATGACTAGCTAAAGCCCCGGACACCTCAGGTCCCTGGTTTATGAAATGGGAATAATAATAGCAATGACTTGTAGCCTCATAAAGGGATCGAATCAGTCAGTGTCTCTAAAGCCCTCAGCATGGTATCTGGTGCAAGAAGCACCCAGCGAACATTAATGGGCTATGCAGACTAGAATATCCCATCCCTCAGGAGCCCCAGCAGAGCTACAGGAATGAGGATTCCACTTTTGACTTCTTCCTCTACTGACCAGTGGCAAAGTACTGCCAGCTGCTAGGGGTGTAGGGGAGGCTGGAGTGAACTGGAAAGAGGATTAGGGACTACTGGCCTCAGAGCAGCTACTACCTGTGCCCACCATTGTGGCTTCCCCTCCTCCCCAAGCTTAACTACAGAAAGTTCTAGAGCCCTGCCTGCAACATGGGCTTTTGACCTGAGTCTACATCCATCTATTCTATTTCCCATGGATGGCTAAGAACTGCCCCTCTTATCAAATCATCAGGCTGAGGCCAGGAGTTTGAGACCAGTCTAGGCAACATAGACCCCCATCTCTACAAAAAATAAAAAGTCGGGCTGGGCGCAGTGGCTCATGCCTACAATCCCAGCACTTTGGGAGGCCCAGGCAGGTGGATCACAAGGTCAGGAGTTCAAGACCAGCCTGGCCAAAATAGTGAAACCCCATCTCTACTAAAAATATAAAAAATTAGCCAGGCATGGTGGTGGACGCCTGTAATCCCAGCTACTTGGGCAGCTGAGGCAGGAGAATTGCTTGAACCTGGGAGGCAGAGGTTACAGTGAGCCAAGATTGTACCATTGCACTACAGCCCAGCAACAGTATTAGACTTCATCTCAAAAAAATTATTAAAATTTTTTTTTAAAATTAGCTGAGTATGGTGATGAATGCCTATAGTCCCGGCTACTCAGGAGGCTGAAGGAGGGAGGCTCACTTGAGTCCAAGGGGTCAAGGCTGCAGTGAGCCTGGATTGCACCCCTACACTCCAGCCCAGGTAACAGAGTGCGATCCTGTCTCAAAAAAAAAAAAAAAATTGAGGTGTGTGAGCCTCGGTTTCCTCATCTATACAGTGCAGATAGCACTACCAGCTCTGCCTGCCCATTATAAGGAGGGGAAGGAGAGGGGCAGGAGGAAGATTGCCAAATCCAAGGGATGGGAATGTGACCTGTCTTTATAGGCCAAATTCACACAGCTTAAGTATGGCAGCACCCAGGCTTCTCCCTTTCTAAAGACGCTCCTGGGTGCTGAGGAGCGCCTGGGGGCCAGGCCAGACGTCACTCAATCTCCCTCCTCTGGCCTGTCTCCTGCAGCCTCTCCGCTGCACTGAAGCCCAGAACTGTGAAGCAGCCTCTCTCCTTGGATCTCCTCTGACCCTAAAGGGACTGGGCGGAGCCTTCCAGGACCATGGTTGGACTGAAGCCTTCAGATGTGCCTCCCACCATGGCTGTGAAGTTCCTGGGGGCAGGCACAGCGGCCTGTTTTGCTGACCTCCTCACCTTTCCACTGGACACAGCTAAGGTCCGCCTACAGGTAGGTGCCCTTTGGCCAAGGGTCGCTGATCGCATGGAAGGAGGAGCTAGTTCACCACAGCCCCCATGCTATGTGCCCACATGCACTTCCTCACTCAGAACCCTGACAAAGACTCTCACTCCACTGCTTAGGACTCCTCCTGGCCTCTTCCCATCACCATTCACCAGGACAAAAAAATCTAAATTCTTTGCATGATGTGACAGGGCCCTTTATGGCCTAGGTCCTACTATGTAAACCATACAATGTGAGGTAAAAGTAAGGAATTAATACTGGGTGCGGTGGCTTACGCCTGTAATCCCAGCACTTTGGAAGACCAAGGTGGATGGATCAGGAGGTCAAGAGTTCGAGACCAGCCTGACCAACATGGTGAAACCTCATCTCTACTAAAAATGCAAAATATATTAGCCAGGCTTGGTGGCACATGCCTGTAATCCCAGTTACTTGGGAGGCTGAGGTTGCAGTAAGCCAAGATTGCACCGTTGCACTCCAGACTGGGCAACAGAGCGAGACTCTGTCTCAAAAAAAAAAGAAAAAATAAAATAAATAAGGAATTAACTGTGTGACCTTGGCAAGCCACAAAGCACTTCTAAAATTGGAAAAACAGTCTGTCCCTCTGATTTGCTCTGAAGATCAAACACCAAACCATGTGTAAAATGCTGCTCTGTGAACAGTAAATGCTGCCCAGTGTTTTCACTGTGATATAAAGGCTGTGAACAGCGTAGTTGTTCTCAGGCCCTGCCCAGGCAGGCCCAGCCCCAGCAGGGTTCCTGTGCACACAGCTCCTTCTTGCCCTCCCATCTAAGTCCTCACCCCCTGCTGTTGTCCCTCAGATCCAGGGGGAGAACCAGGCGGCCCAGGCGGCCCGGCTTGTGCAGTACCGTGGCGTGCTGGGCACCATCCTGACCATGGTACGGACAGAGGGCCCCTGCAGTCCCTACAATGGGCTGGTTGCCGGCCTGCAACGCCAGATGAGCTTTGCCTCCATCCGCATTGGCCTCTACGACTCTGTCAAGCAGTTCTACACTCCCAAAGGCTCAGACAGTGAGTGCCCGGGTCCCTGAACACCAAAGCGGTGGACGAAAGTGTGTGGGTCAAGAGACCAGGGAAGTCCAGACTCAGAGGCAGAGCCAGGGGCAGGGGGATGTTGGTACTGGACGCTCATGAGGAGACTCTGAGTGGCCATCAAGGAAGCTGCAAGGGCAGCCCCTGGAGAACAGCTTATCCCAGAGAACTGCTCAGTAGGGGACACTGGCTACTCTCTCTGCCTGTCTCAGACTCCAGCGTCACTACCCGGATTTTGGCGGGCTGCACAACAGGAGCCATGGCAGTGACCTGTGCCCAGCCCACAGATGTGGTGAAGGTTCGATTTCAGGCCAGCATACACCTTGGGCCTGGGAGTGACAGAAAATACAGCGGGACTATGGACGCCTACAGAACCATCGCCAGGGAGGAAGGAGTTAGGGGCCTGTGGAAAGGTAAGTCTGGACTCTTGGTGCAGGCGGCCCTAAGCAGAGCTTTCTCTCCCCTCTGGCTGGGGCAGGGACCAGCAAGGAGGGGACTCCCACTATGGCATGTTCCAGTGATTCTAGAAGAACATCCCAACCAAAGATACCTCACTGACCTGCCACAGCCCTGCGAACTCAGTTCATTTTACCAGACCTTTGCCATGTGCAGGTTGCTGTGAGCAAGACAGAAATGAATTTTTTGTTTGTTTGTTTGAGACAGAGTCTGGCTCTGTTGCCCAGGCTGGAGTGCTATAGTGCGGTCTCAGCTCACTGCAACCTCTCCCTCCTGGGTTCAAGCAATTCTCCTGCCTCAGCCTCCTGAGTAGCTGGGATTACAGGTGCCCACAACCATGCCCGGCTACTTTTTGTATTTTTAGTAGAGATGGGGTTTCACCATGTTGGCCAGTCTGGTCTCAAACTCCTGACCTCCTGCTCCACCCGCCTCGGCCTCCCAAAGTACTGGGATTACAGGCGTGAACCACCATGCCCAGCCAGAAACGAATTTAAGACACCTCCACACACCCAGGGCGTGAGGACAACAGAGGAGATAAGTCAAGATGCAGCTATACCACAGGCAGGATGTGCTGGGGGTCGCCCAAGAGGCGGAGCTCCAGAGGCAGGCTCTGTAGAGAAGGTGACACCTAAACTGGGCCTGGAAGACTGAGCGGGCTCTAGGTGTGTGGAGACAGAAAGGGAGGGGCCCTCAAGCAGGGCCCAGAAGAAAAAGAGGAGTATCCGGAAAGCAGAGCTGTGAGGAGTGGGCACAGGGAGATGCAATGAGGAGGGGCTTCCTTGGGAGTAAAGCTGGAGGCTTCCCTACGTGACCACACGGCAGCCACCGTGATGAACGCAGGACTCTCTCCCACATGTGGACCAGGGGTTGCATGAATGCTTGCAGAAGAAACTGAACCAGGGAAGTTTAAGGGCAGGACACCTCTTAAGTGAGGGCTCTTCACTCACTTGTTGGGTGCCCTTCAGAGCTCGTCCCCTTATCTGTGAAGCCAGGGCTTGGTCCTGGCACTTTCCTAGGGCCCTTCTGGCAGCACCACATTCTGTCACTGTTCCAAGAGCTCAGCCTTCCGCAGAATGACTTTCTTTTCTGGCTACAGCTGGGTCTCAGGGAGGCATATTTTAATTTTGACAGCTATTGCAGATTACCCTCCAAAATGTAGCCAAATGAACACAAGTGGGTCTCTCTGTTCTCTGCCTCTAAGACGGACATGGACGGTCTGAGAGTTGTTAACCCTAGAAAGGAAAGTGTGGAATATGCTCAGCTAGGGTGGGCTTTTCTGGCTGAGACCATTAGAATGAGGCACTGTGGCCCCCAAACTGGGGCCCATGGCCTTGCAGCCAGGGCGTCCATTTCTACCATTTCCCATTCATCCATCCCTACCGCCTTCTTAACAGGAACTTGGCCCAATATCATGAGGAATGCCATTGTCAACTGTGCTGAGATGGTGACCTACGACATCCTCAAGGAGAAGCTGCTGGACTCTCACCTGCTCACCGGTGAGGTTCTGAGCTCCAGGCAGGCAGCCCTCCCTCAGCAGGGAGGGAACCCAGAACTCCATGGAGTGGGCACCACCCAGAGGCAACTGGGCTTTAGTAGGAGCAGAGAGAGGAGGAGTGCCCAGTAAAAAATGCCTGGTACATTGTGGTGACAAGCAGGAAAGACGCCTGGGCTGGGAGGCAGGAGACCTGAGTGCCAGTCCCAGCACTGCCTCTCACTATGTAGCTTTAAGCAGGGGTCTCTCACCTTCTCTCACTTCAGTTTCCTCAAACAGGCTGCATGACCTTCCACCTCCAGATCAGCGCAGGCCTCATTTGCCAGTACTTGCCAAGAGCTTAGCCCAGGGCACTGTAAACATATGGAAAATACTGTCCCATGCTCAGGGAGTTCACGGTTGAGTTGGGGACAAACAGTGAATACATATGGACAGAACACAAGTGCACTGCTTGATATTCGCTCATCCTTCCCTCTGCAGACAACTTCCCCTGCCACTTTGTCTCTGCCTTTGGAGCCGGCTTCTGTGCCACAGTGGTGGCCTCCCCGGTGGACGTGGTGAAGACCCGGTATATGAACTCACCTCCAGGACAGTACCTCAGCCCCATCGACTGTATGATAAAGATGGTGGCCCAGGAGGGCCCCACAGCCTTCTACAAAGGGTGAGCCTCCTCCCGCCTCCAGCACTCCCTCCCAGAGAACGGGGGCTTCTTTCTTTTCTAATGTGGCTACCGTGGGTCAAGCTGGGATGTAGCAGTGAAGAGCACAGATGTGCGTGCCACAAAGGAGAAGTCTAAAAAACCGTGCAAGTAAAAGAAAGAAAGTGAACCATACCTGATATGGAGAGTTAGGGAAGCCTGCCTGAGAACAAGCATTCTAGGAATAGGTAAAAGTATTTCCAAAGGAAGTTAACAATCCTGAGACTTCCCCAACCTCCTTGCATGGCCATTGAGCACCATACTGGCCACAGCCAGTGCCTTAACACTGTCCCCACACGCTCCATGTTTTCTTGCTTCCATACCTTTGCACTTCTCCCACTGCGTGGAATGCCTCATCATCTACAAGCTTGCTTTCTTTCTTTCTTTCTTTCTTTCTTTCTTTCTTTCTTTCTTTCTTTCTTTTTTTTGAGAAGGAATTTCACTCTTGTTGCCCAGGCTGGAGTGCAATGGTTCAATCTCAGCTCACCGCAGCCTCAGCCTCCCGAGTAGCTGGGATTACAGGCATGTGCCACCACACCTGGCTAATTTTTGTATTTTCAGTAGAGACAGGGTTTCTCCATGTTGGTCATGCTGGCCTCAAACTCCTGGCCTCAGGTGATTCTCCCACCTAGGCCCCCCAAAGTGCTGGGATTACAGGCGTGGGCCACCACGCCCGGCCTACAGACTTTCAATCTTAGCCATCCTTCAAGACCAGTTCAAATGCCACCTCCTCCCTAACCCTCTCAGGTGTAAATTTTTCCTCCTTCCTGGGAACTTCTGCAATGCCATTTGACACCATTTTTATGGTATTTGTCACCTCCTGCCTTGTGTTATAGTATTGGCAAGCTTAAATTATTCCTCAGGCAAAGGGCAAGTTCAAAAAGTCAAAGTTCAAAGTCAAAATGGCTCAGATGTCTTTTAGTCTCCCACAGTCCCTCGCACAAAGCAAATACTCGATAATGCAGGTTGTGTATGATTATCATGACAGCTACATAACTCTGTATTAGGCCTCGTGCTGAGCACTTTACACAAGTTATCTCATCAACCCCTTGAACTGGGTAGTAGTGTCCACATCACCTAAGGAAGAGGCTGAATGACAGAAAAGTTAAGTAATTTATCCAAGATCACAAGTTAAAATGGTGGAGCCATGGCTCAAACCCAGACCATCAGATTCCACACCCAATGGTGTTGTTTGTCCTACTGGTAAGCTCTTAGCTTGGCCCTCTCAACTCCCACTGCTGATGCCTTCAACAGAGTTTTCTGGTACCTGATGTTAGAATGGACCCAACAAGTGAACAAGAGCCACTATAGGTTCTCAGTTGCAATTGACAGACTGTTCTTCCGAAAAGTGCCTCTATCATTACAGTCTTCAGCTGGAGCCACTTCTCTCAGTTACTGCTTTCACTTGTCCAGCATTTCTGGAGCATCTCGTATGTGCCAGGCCCTGGGTTATGCTTTCCACAAAAATTAGCAGATAAGTTGATGATATTTACCAAGCGTTTACTGCTGCTGGGTCCTGTGCTGACATTAATTCATTTAATCTCCACAACTAACTCTATAAGGCAGATACTATTATTTTCTCATTTTACAGATGAGGAAACTGAGGCTAACAAAGATTAAGTAATATGTCCAGATTGTACAGCTAGAAACTGGGAGAGCTTGGATTTGAACCCATGTCTGACTGAACTCTGGAGTTTACATTTGTTGTCACAGTGCTCTAGTCCCCTTGAGGGTCAGGAAAACCCATGGCATGAGTTTATAGTGCCCAAGGTGAGTCCTCCAGAGCAAAGAGCAACCAGCCAGGCAAAGAGGAGAGGAGGGGACAGTCCAGGCAGAGGGAGCAAGAGGAGCAAAGAGGGCTGGCATCGCCAGGGAACGTGACTAGTTGAGTCTGGTGGAAGCAAAGGGGCCCAGGAGGTGGTTAGTGGAGGGACAGGCTAAGAGGAGGGCAGGGTCCAGCCTGTGGGCTTCTCCCTGAGTTGGTGAGCCACAGCTGATGTGGGGACACTCTCCCTGCAGTGCCATGATAGCACAGCCAGGCTCTCTAGAGATGAGCTAAATCTGGTGCCACACTGTCTTCACCCTGCAAAGCCCAAGCTTCTCCGTGTCCTGGCAGGCAGCCATGTTAGGGCGGGCCACCAGGATGTAACTGAGCCCAAAAACACCCAGCAGCCGGGGGGCAGTCAGGTCAGACGGTTCATCTGAGCCGCATCTCTGACACTTACCAGCCACTGGTCTTTGGATGAGCTCTTAACTTCCCTGGGCCTCAGTTTGTGAAAAGGAACCTGGCAGCAACATGGCTGCCTTATAGAACTGTGAGAATTTGCTGCCTGACACAGTAACCTGGCTCAAAATGTGAGTTTTTTTCTTTCTCTGACTCCAACTTCTGCTTAAATCCCCTCAGCAGAAAAAGGACAAAAAAAAAAAAAAAAAACCAAAAAAAAAAAAAACAGAGACTGAAAGGATTTCAGAAAATACTTGTGATGGACAGCAGTCTAGGCCCTCTGGCACTCCCACTGTGTCCCGGGAGGGCTCATGCGTCTGCTGTGGTCTCCTAGCGCCCCACCTGATGCGTTGGTTGTTTTTCTCATCAGATTTACACCCGCCTTTTTGCGTTTGGGATCCTGGAACGTGGTAATGTTCGTAACTTATGAGCAGCTGCAACGGGCCCTGATGTTATGGGAATCTCCATTTTGAGCAAGACAAGAGGCCACTGGTAGCTGACATATCCAAAACCATTTGAGAATGGAAGAGAACAGTGGATCCACGCACACATGGACACAGACCCACACTTGTTTACAGAACTGCTGTTTACTTGTTGCTGATTCAAGAAACAGAAGTAGGAGAGGGGAAAGGATTCTGGTCTTCAGTGCTTTGCCTTGAGAACACCTTTGTTTTGCACTGACAAGATGGAAAATAAATTATATTAATTTTTGAAACCCATTAGGCATGCCTAATATTTAGGCAAGAGAAAATAAAGCAAAATAGATCCATTTGGATAAAATAGAAGGTTAGAGACATGTATTCCCCAAGAAATCTGGTTAGACAATGAATGATGAGCAGGAAAGATGGCAAGCACGGGACAGGAGGAGCCCACGATATGATGGGAAATCAGCCGAGGAGCCTGGAGGGACGCCACCCAGTACCACAGAGCGGTGACCGCAGCCATCACACATGCATCATCAGCCTGTTTGTTATGTGTCTGCCTCATCGAGTCCTTTGGATTCTAGGAAGTGCAAGGAACAAAAGAAAAAACTAAAGCCTGTGCCAGAGAAGCCCTGCTGGGCCAGTTCGAGGCTGGGGCTCGTACTTGCTGACAATGCAGAAGAATCAAGAAGGCAGCCTCCCCTTTCCTATAAAATGGAGGGAGCAATCCCTTCCCTGTCCACCTCACCGGGAGTGTTACGACATGCAAGTGAGAAGCTGGGTATGAATGCACTTTATAAAAGCAAAAGCTCTGTGTCAATCTAACTACAAGGACAATGCCTTGGGAGAGATTTTGTCAGGACAGAGAGGAGATGCCAGGGAAGAAGGTTTTGAAAGATACAGTTGTCGTCTAGAGGTGAGACCAAAGGATCCAGAGACTTGGGGACCAGAGGTGACAGTGGATGACACGAAGCCACAGGAGTCCTGCCCCCATGCAGCTCCTTCCCCCCGACCAGCGCTCAATTGTGAGCACCTCAAAGGGTTGTAGGGCTTCAGGGAAAAGAAGTGGATTCCTGGCTAAGAACCTAAAGTAGGAGGACTCGGAATTTGGGAGAAATTATTATGACTCAATAAAGAAATTCACACCTTAGGTGTGGGAGTAAGAACAGCCACTTCTCTGCCTTTTCTTTGTTGGAATGTTCCTTTCTCACTTCTATTTCCGGCTTTTTATTTGTCAGGGTGGGGCCAGATCCAGCCCCACATGCCTACACTTCCTCTGCCCCCTCTCACGCCATTTAATTGCAGGCAAATTGCTTTATTTTTTTAGGGCTCCAGCTTCTGCTTCTGCAAAAGGCAGGGTTGAACCAGATGACCTACTTCCAAGCTTAAGACCGTACATCTTTCAAATTGATAATGCGGTCCCAAAATGCCAGCGTCTTTTTCTACTTCTTGGCAGCCTTGTGTAGCTCTGATGATTGCCAGGGCTGAGTTCAAACCTCACCCCACTCCACCCAACTAACCACCTATCCACAGGGAATCCTTGCACCTCGGTGGGCTACCAGAGAAATGGGAATAATAATCCCTGCTTCACAGTCTTTTTGTGAGGGTTGACCTAAAACTCCTCGGAAAGCAGGCATGTGGCATGCACCTGTTACCTGGAAGGCTGAGGCAAGAGGATTGCTTGAGCTCAGGAGATCAAGACTGCAGTGAGCCAAGACTGCACCTGTGAATAGTGACTGCACTCCAGCCTTGGCAACAGAGCAAGACTTCTTCTCTGACACAAAACAAACAAAAAAATCATTGGAATACAGGAGGCACTCAGTAAGTAATTTCCCTGCTTCCCTGCTTCTTGGGAAAAAGCAAATATCTGTTCATCCTCAGCACTTTCCTAAATTTAAATTATAACTTGAGATCAGTTATGTATATAAACCGGAGAGTTCATACAAAAGCAAAAAAATTTTTTTTTTATTTAATGTCTGGCTTGGTTTTCAAATAAAACCCATATTTTAAAAAGCTTCTGGCCAGGCTCAGTGAATCCTCCAACTTTGGGAGGCTGAGGCGGGTAGATCACTTGAAGTCAGGAGTTCGAAAGCAGCCTGGCCAACATGGTGAAACCCCATCTCTACTAAAAACACACACACAAAAAAAAATTAGCTGGGCATGGTGGCAGTTACCTGTAATCCCAGCTGCTCAGGAGGCTAAGGCAGGAGAACCGCTTGAACCCGGGAGATGGACGTTGCAGTGAGCTGAGACTCTGCCACTGCACTCTAACCTAGGTGAGACAGTGTCTATAAAAAAAAAAAAATTAATTACACATTACATTAAAAGTTTCCCTTTTTAGCCAGGCATGGTGGCAAATGCCTGTGGTCCCAGCTACCCAGGAGACTCAGGTGGGAGAATCACTTGAGCCCAGGAGGCGGAGGTTGTGGTGAGCCAAGATCACACCACTGCACCCCAGGCTAGGTGACAGAGTGAGACCCTCTCTCAAAAAAAAAAAAAAGTTTCTTTCTTTTGACTTGACTGACGTGCAAATCACTCTCAAACTCCTAGTCTCAGTTTGTAAGTTTCTAGGTCCAGGAGCTATGTCTTCCATGAATTTCTGTATAGCAATATTAACATGCCATCTACTCAGAGGATACTATTCAGGTGATGATTCCGAGACAGAGGGGATAAAACATTCTAAGAGATATTTTGGCTGGGATCAGAAGCCTACTAACTACCAAGTCCAGCCTTTTTTTTGGGGGTGGGGTGGGGTGGGGGTGGGGACAGGAGTCTTGCTCTGTCGCCAGGCTAGAGTGCAGTGGCACAATCTCAGCTCACTGCAGTCTCTGTCTCCCAGGTTCAAGCAATTCTCCTGCCTCAGCCTCCTGAGTAGCTAGGATTATAGACGCGTGCCACTCTGCCCAGCTAATTTTTGTATTTTTAGTTGAGACGGGATTTCACCATGTTGGCCAGGATGGTCTCGATCTCGACCTCATGACCTGCCCACCTCAGCCTCCCAAAGTGCTGGGATTACAGGTGTGCACCAAGTCCAGCCTTTTGGAGAAAGAAAAACAAGATTGGTGAGTCTTGTGAGGTTTCTAGGGCAAAATACTAGATCTCTTTCCCTACTTCTTTTTTTTTTTTTTTTGAGTCGAAGTCTTGCTCTGTTGTCCAGACTAACTCAATCTCAGCTCACAGCAACATCTGCCATCCAGGTTCAAGTGATTCTCCTACCTCAACATCCTGAGTAGCTGGGACTACAGGTGCATGCCATAACACCCTGGCTGGTTTTTGTATTTTTAGTAGAAATGGGATTTCTCTGTGTTGGCCAGGCTGGTCTCGAACTCCTGACCTCAAGTGATCACCCCACCTTGGCCTCCCAAAGTGCTGGGATTACAGGCATGAGCCACTGCGCCCGGCCTCTTTCCCCACTTCTTAAAGGCAGAGATTCAACCAAATAACCTAAAGCTCTTTACTTCTGTGATTCTAAAGACTGAGAGACAGTTTCTCCCAGGCTATAGTGTGAACACATTTTGAATGCTGGCCTCAATTTATGCTTCCAGGAAACCAGGGATGTAAATTCATGGGAGGTCAGCTGAGGCCAGCTTCTGAGTTCCATGCACCCATTTCCCCACCACACTCCTAGGGACACCCACTTCCAGTCAAGTGATTCAAAAGAAACCTGCTTTTTCTCAAACTCGTCTAATGTATCAGGCAAAAATGAGATAGCAACTCAGTCCTATTTGTGACATAATGGATAATTTACTGCACAGAAATGTTCTAAGTAACGGTAATATTTTTTTTATTTTTTTTTATTTTTTTTTAATTTATTTTTGAGACAGAATTTCACTCTTGTTACCCAGGCTGGAGTGCAATGGCGCGATCTCGGCTCACTGCAACCTCCGCCTCCTGGGTTCAGGCAATTCTCCTGCCTCAGCCTCCTAAGTAGCTGGGATTACAGGCACGCGCCACCATGTCCAGCTAATGTTTTGTAATTTTAGTAGAGACAGGGTTTCACCATGTTGACCAGGATGGTCTCAATCTCTTGACCTCGTGATCCACCCGCCTCGGCCTCCCAAAGTGCTGGGATTACAGGCTTGAGCCACCGCGCCCGGCCAGGTAATATTTTTTAAAAGAATATTTTATTCAGGAGGAATGTACATTAAGTAAGGAAATTATTATATCTCTGTAGATGAGTTTGTTTCAGGGCACTTTGAAAACCACAGTGTGCTACACAAATGAAAATATTCATTGTACATACGTTGTAAGCCATATATTATATGAGGTGTTGGGGTAAACAAGACCAGTTCTGTTCTCAAGGAGCTCAGCTGGGCTGGAGGATGGTGGAGCAGGAAAGACAAACTGTAGACCATCAATCACCATACTGGGTGATCAAAGCTACAAATAGATGTGTGTACAAAGCACCCAAGAACAGGTACACAGATGAGGGACATCTGACCTGGTCTGGGGGTCAGGAAGGTTTTTGGAGGAACATACCTAAAGGTCAAACAGATATTATCCAGGTAAAGAAAGTTAAGTGAAAGTTATTGTAGGTAAAGGGAATTGTTCATGCAAAGGCCCAGAAACAAGATAAAAACATTCAAGGTGCATCCAAGGGACTGCCAGCTGTCAGTATGGCTGGATTGCAGACTTAAAGATCTACTGGGTAGACTGAGGCAGAAGAATGACTTGAACTTAGGAGGCGGAAATTGTGGTGAGCCAAGATTGCGCCACTGCGCTCCAGCCTGGGCGACAGAGTAAAACTCTGTCTGAAAAAAAAAAAAAAAAAAAAAAGACACTACTTTCCATTTTACGTATATACCCAAAGTGCAAAGTGGAATCGCTTGGTATTGGTGATTCTATATTTAAATTTTTGAGGAACCGTCATCCTGTCTTCCATGGCAGCTGGAACATGCTCATTCCCAGCAGCAGTGTATAAGTGTTTCAGTTTCTGCATATCCTCGTCGACACTTATTTTTGGGTTTTTTTGATAGTAGGCATCCTAACAGGTGTAAGGTGGTCTCTCATGGTGGTTTTGTTTAATGATTAGTGATGTCGTGGCTCTTTCATGTGGTTATTAGCCATCTGTGTGTCTTCTTTGGAGAAATGTCTATTTAAGGCTTCTGCCTATTTTTGAATGAAAATTTAAGAATTATAATTTTATGCAACTTGGATGAATCTCACATAGAGTTGAATAAAAGACACAAAATAGTACATACAATATAATTTCATTTATATAATGTTTAAGAACAGGTAAAACAAATATTTGGTGTTAAAAATCAGGATACTGGTTATTCTTTGGGTGAATAGTGACTGACGGTAGACACAAAGGATCACTTCTGGGTGTTGGTAACGTTTCCTGATGTGTGTCCTCATTATACAGGGATGTTTGCTTTATAAAAGTTTCTCATGCTGTATACTCAGGATTTGTGCACTCTTTTATATGTATTTTACTTCCAGAAAAAGTTTACTTTAGGCTGAGAGCAGTGGCTCATACCTGTAATCCCAGCACTTTAGGAGGCTAAGGCGGGAGGGTTGCTTTAGTCCAGGAGTTCGAGACCAGCCTGAGCAACATAGGGAAACTCTGTCTCTCCAAAAAATACAAAAATTAGCCGGCTGCGGTGGTGCATGCCTCAGCTACTTGGGAGACTGAAGTGGGAGGATCACTTGGGCCTGGGAGGTTGAGGCTGCAGTGAGCCATGACCACACCACTGCACTCCAGCCTGGGTAACAGAGCAAGAATCTGTCTCAAATTTTTTTAAAAATTTTACTTTCAAAGTGTACTTAAACATGGATATTGATAATGTGTGTGTGTGTGTGTGTGTGTGTGTGTGTATGTGTGCGTGTAGGGATGATAAGAATTTGCTGGCCAAGTAAAGATCTTAAGAGTGTACCAGGCAAAGGGAACGAGTGGTCCACAGGCCCTAAGGTGAGAATGAGTTTGGCATATCCAACGCACAGAAAGAAGGCCTGTGTGACTGGAGTGAAGTGAATGAGGAGATGAATGTGAGACCATTCATTAGTCCGTTCATCAAATATGTAACAGCTGTACCAGAGGCTAAGCAGTCAGAGGACAGCCACTTGTTTGGAAAGTTTGGCAGAGAGGAAGGAGTAAAAATAGACCTTGTGGAAGAGGTGGGCAAGCCCTAAGGATGGTTCATTTCAATTTACACACATGCAGTGGAA